CGCCCTTTTTGGCGCGCGGCCGCCACGGCGCCTCCACGAGGATTTCACTCCGTTCGCCCGACGGGAACTAATTATTGCTGGACAATCGCGCTTCGACGCACGCAGCCAATCGGAGGGGCGGAGGGCGCGTGCCGACGGTCACAAAAGACCGTTAGTTGAGGTCTTCAAACGGTCACGTGTTTCCACTGTCTTCCTCCGCCCCGGGTCGGAGTTCCTTAGTTCGCTGCTGAAAATAGCGCGATTACCATGAGCCTTTTTAATACTATTAACACTGAGAGAAAGTGAAAGAACAAGAATGTTCTCTAATAAAACATTATCTAATAAAATGTTCTCTAATAAAACGTGTGAAATGCATGGTTATGTTAGGGCGCCTCAAAGGGTTTCCGCGTACTGTTACACAGAGGTTCACGCTGAAGTATTTTAATAGGGTTTGCAATTAGGACTCCATGCCGAAGAGTGACAGTGTATTTGCAAGGTGTCTATTTACCTAAAAAATATAACGTGGGAAATGGCTCCAGAGAGTTTTGCGAAGTTGCAATTTTACCATGATGATTCCTGCTCTGGTTACAGTGAATGCAAGGGGATGCCAACTTAGAGTCTCAACCAGTGGTTTTCCTCCTGTGGTCTGGGAACCATCCGTTATCAATGAGAGCACTGCAGTCAATTCCCAATTTGAGCACCAAATTTTTTTTATTATTTTATTATTTTAAATGGCCAGAATCTCAGGAGATCATCATATCTTGGAAGGGGTTGGATATATATGCCATGACAGCCTGAGATCCTGTGTTCTTGATCCCTGCTTCATGTTGTTGTTGTTTAGTCGTTAAGTCGTGTCCGACTCTTCGTGACCCCATGAAGCATATCACGCCAGGCCTTCCTGTCCTTCACTGCCTCCCTGAGTTTGCTCAGTTTCATGTTCATTGCTTCAGTGATGTTATCTAACCATCTCATCCTCTGCCCTTCTCCTTTTGCCTTCAATCTTTCCCAGCATCAGGGTCTTCTCCAAAGAGATCTCTCTTCGCACCCTGATTCTCCTTTTGCCTTCAATCTTTCCCAGCATCAGGGTCTTCTCCAAAGAGATCTCTCTTCGCACCCTGATTCTCCTTTTGCCTTCAATCTTTCCCAGCATCAGGGTCTTCTCCAAAGAGATCTCTCTTCGCACCCTGATTCATACAGAACCATCTTACATGAATATGGAAAGTAATACTAGTACGGTCTGAATGTTATGAAGTGAACATTATGTGCCTTCACAAGAAGCTTAAAGCTGATTTTACTCAAAACACTTTCTGTTGCCCCTTTGCAATACAAATTATTTCTCATTTCCATTTTTATCAGACTTTAATGCCAATAGTTGAAACAAGGCCCGAAGGCTTTTAAAAAACTCACAGGTGGAAATAGAAGAACATTTTATACTCTGATCTATAATTTCAATTTCTATGGCTGCCCACTTGGATATGAAACTCTTTAAAATAATAACCAGTTTGTATTTACACAGCCACTAACACCACCAGAAAAAAAGTCTAATTATTCTGGGTTGTATTTATTTGAATTTATTAGTTACCCAATTCCAATGGACTCTGGACAGTGTATAAAAGTAGAAAAAAACCACAAAACCACATAAAAACATCAAATAAGACTAAAATAATCTTTTAAACAGCAAAATCAAACAAAACAAAACAGGGGTCCTACACAAATAATAAAACATCAATCCCAGGCCTGGGACCAAAGCCAGGTTTTCAAAGCTTTCTGGAACCCCAGGAGAGAGGGCACCATCCTGATCTCTGGGGAGATGTGGTTCCAGAGGGTGGGGGCTTCAACAGAGAAGGCACATCTCCTCAGTCCCACAAAATGACAATGTTTAATGGAGGGGACCCAGAGTGCACCCACTCTGCCAGAACGTACTGGGCAGGCAAAAATGATTGGAGACAAGCCGTCTCTCAGATATCCAGGCCCCATGCCATACAGGGTTTGATAGGTAATGACAAGCACCTTGAATTGCACTTGGAAGCCAACTGGCAGCCAATGCAGCTCATGTAGCAGCGGTGACACATGGGCATACCATACCGTAAGGTGCTCATTACTGCTCATGCCGCTGCATTTTGAACCAGCTGTAGCTTCCAGGTGGTCTTCAAGGGCAATTCCATGTAGACTGCATTGCAATAATCCAATCATGAAGTGAGCAGGGCATAAGTAACTGTCTGAAGGGTTAATAAGCCTGAAGGGTTTATGTATTATGTATGTATGGAAAATACAAAATGCTTGTGTGTATATAAAAATGTATTGAAAGTCAAGTGATTCTCTTTTTAGAAGTAACTAATACCTTTGGGGTTTTTTTATATTTCTTATGCTTTCACTGTTTTGTATACCATCTAAAGAACTATGGTTATTGAGCTGTCTTAAGTACAATCAATTAATCAAATGATTTTTAAAAGTTTCTGATGCTGAAAATCACTCCCCAACCCCTAGAAGAAGCAGAATTCATCCAGCTGTAGAGTCCAAATTGCCAGTTCTTAAATAAAGATATTCTGTATACAACATTATTTTCAAGGAGTGCCAGAATACTTGAGGATAGCTCATTTTATTTTCTGAACCATCTTGCTTTTCTCCCATTGTGAACAGCAGGTATGGTAGGGACAATATAATAACATCCCTCTGCAAGATCATCTCTCTCTCTCTGTTTGAAAGGATCAAAAGTGTCAGTTACTTGTGTCTTATTGCATTGTTCCATGTATCACTGCTGTATGCAGACCTTGTTAGCCGGTCAACTGGTTCAGCCAGATGAGGAAAATGTTTATTTCCTGTTAGTGGACCATTTTGCTAAAAAAATTATTGTAATTGCTCTAAGGAGGACTTGGGTATCATGCTGTAATTGTTAAATTTAATTTACTGTACTATATAGCTATCGTTACATATGTTATTTTCTAGGGTTTTTAAAAAATCTAATACTATTTTATGCTGTTTGTTTGTACCATGTAATGGTTTTGTATTTTGACTATAGATAAATAAATTAAACTAAACCCACCCTTCATGTCATTCTTCATCAAGCTCCCAATACCACACATCTGTTAATTTTGTTTAAAACAGCTACCAAAGGACAACCTGACAGTCATCACATCTTATTTCTTATATTCAAGCCTAACATAATAGCTTGCTAAATTAATGCTTGATACAGTTTCCCACTTTATTTATATAACTTTTGAACTATGCTATATTTTAAATTCTTTAATTAATATTTATTGTATGTTAAGAAAATTTCTATGCAGCATACAATAAGTCCAAACAATTTTAATAGTAACAAAAATAGCATTTATATAATTGTATAAATATTGTAAAATAAATGAATATGGGAGAGAGTAGTCATTACCTATAAAAAGTTTTTAGAAAATGATCCATGCAGTGCTTGAATCTTGGCAGGACAATATTCGATTTTATCTAGATGTTGGCAGGTATTCTATGCCCTGTCCACAAAATATAAGTTGTGAATTGCAAAATGACCTGAAGATGATGGTGGTGGCCAAGCAAATTGTCTCTGACGCCACACAGCTTTATATTCTTTCCTTTTCTTTCATGCATTCTTTCCAGAAGCCAAAAGCCTAATTCCAGGGAAATGTTTTGAATAGTCCACGTAGAAATAAGCTCCAATGAAATGATTAGTTATTTCACTAAATGTGCTTAAGATCAGGCTACAGTATTAGAGAGATCAGCCCAGATGCAGCTAATCCCTAGATGGCAATGCAGTACCGCATCAGAAAGCCTAACAATCAACACTGAGATCAGGGCTCCCTGTGCTTCCATCAATACTTCCATTATGCATCTTTCTGCAAGATTTCTAACCTTGCTTCATGTAAAAATAATTTGACACTAGTTTTTCTGGATAATTTTGTTTTTTTTTTGTTTTTCTGATAGTGAATAGCTGTAAGGCCAGAAAAGACACGGTTTATTAGACTGAAACATGCCTGCTAATTGGCCTAAAATACATTTGATATCATTCATATCTGTTGATGCAATGGCAGCTTGTGGAAATGAGTGTAGGGTTTTTAATTTTAAAAATGGCTTTTTAAAATTATACTTTTAGAAGTTCCATTAAAAGTCTATATAAGGTACTACAATTTATTTATTTTATTTATTTATTTGTCACATTTATATAGCCGTCCATCTCACACAAAGTGACTCTGGGCAGCTATATAAATACAGTACTACAATACAACTATAATTGCTTAAATTATGAATTGTATATAGATATTTGCAAATATTATATATGAAATATCAAAGGACTAATTTCTTACTGCTTGATTTAAATTCCATTTTTAACCCTATTAAATCTTTATAATCTAGTTAAGAATATATTGGGATCAAACTTCAAATAACAGGTTCCCAAAATATTTTTCTTTCCCTAAAAATAAATACTGCCCAGAAATTTAACTGAGTCTGTGCTAGGCTGGGTATGTGTGAGAGATATTGTCTCTCATTCCAGTTATCTGGTGGAAAGAAAAGAAAATAGAATGTAAGTGGGATCTGTATTTTGCCAATAGATGTCTTCTCTGTGATTGACAGCAGTTCCAGTGGTGACTGTGGCTCATATTAGGAAATCTGCATGCCTCCTCTGGGCCTATTCTCCTTACTACTGTTGGTATTAGGTTGAAGAAGAGCAATCCAAAAGCTGGTACGTGAGCACTGCTCATGATTTCCTAACTTACAGAGACAGTGTGAGAATTATGAACATGTGAAAAACATTTAGTTTCTTCCAATTTTGTGTTTTCCAAACGTAAACGTTTTCCCTACATAATTTTCTATTCTGTAAAGAAGTCCAGTCCTAATTTCTCACTAGTCAATTCTGTTATATGGCTTATCTAACAATGGGACTGCCACTTTTCTAACAGAGTCATAAGAGTGTTCAGATTTCCTTAAAGTTGGAGACCTCAGACAGAAAATCTGACTTGGATGGATTCTGCCTTTTACATCCCTGCCAGCTTCCGCTGGTTCTTCTCAGTGTTAAGAAACCATGCCTGAAGAGGAGATCTAGCAGAGAGGGCAGAAGGGGTTTTGGAACCAAATGAACTCTCCCTCATCCATCTGTCACACCTTTGGCACACCAACATTTAGATCAGTTGGTGATTTAGTTGAAATGTATTCCTTCACATAACTTGCAGTATGAAGGAAGTTAACAACAGCAGCAACACAAGGAGGGAAGAGGGTGAAAACCATTCTTCCCTTATTTCTGCTGTGTTACCTTGTTGCCAGTAAGGCACTAGATTTGTGGGATGCTATTAAGTCTAACTGAGCAATAGCATTACTCAGGTTGTGGTATATTCTAGAAATGTCTAAACATCTGCACTGCATGAATAGTGCATGTGATTCTAGGTATGGCAAGATTTTACAATAGAAAGTAATTACAACTTCAACTGTAAAACTTTTATTTTGTAGAAAAGAAAATTAAGTGCTGGCATCCTGTTAGCCCCCCTTCCTTTTGCTAGTGTTTGAAAAGCAAACAAGGTTATCTTTATACCTGAAATGGAAACTGTCTATCCTAAACAATAGTATGGTTATTTAAATTGTTGGCAGTGCCCTTGTCAAAGTTTAAAAATAAATTTTACTTCCTCCATGATCTTATCAAATGAAAAAATAACAAAGTATCTCTCTTATCTTTAACAATGTTGCATTCTTCTATATAAGAGAAATGTTTGCAAACAGGAAATACGTTTCGGAATATTCACACAAATGACCAGAATCAATGCAATCAATACAGATAGGTTTAAAGCTAGATTATATAAACTTTATGCTACTAATCTTTCCCACTATTCTAGATCACAGAAACTCAAGCTTATCATTATCTTACTCAGCAATCATATGCTCATTAAATCTGAAGCATTAGCAGTGGAAAGGTGGGAATGGAGGATAATATTTTTGGAGGCTAGTTTCAGTTATTTTTTAACAATATGGAGGACAGAGAGCCCCATTCTTCATCTTCCACTGTAGTATAGCAGAAAATTCCAGTAGTACAATGCTTGCTAAATGTGAAATATCACATTAATTGATAAAATAAAATTATTTTGAAAATTCAGGATAGCCTAGGGGGATTTTTCTGGGTGACAATTTAGAAAACCTCCCTCAATAGTTTAATAGTTATTAAAGCAGAAACATCTCATTATAACAGAAATAAACAACTGGCATGATGTGGTTGACCATGCCCAGAACATCTCTGTGAGGACAATTTCTCAAGAGAAATTATGGCTGTAGAGCAGCATATATACATATATACCCATCATGCTGTACCCTCTTGGAGTAAGCAGTGTTATGCAAAATTTAGTAAATATTATGCAAAATTAAGTAAAGAAGTGAGAAATGGTATGCTGTTAAAAAATGTATGGACATTGTAAAATTCATAGACTCTATCTGCATTTGGTAGCATGTAGGCAATGACCTGGGAAGAAAGCAAACAAAGCAAGAAAGGAAATGAAGTACTCTAAGAAATATGGACACGCTAAGGCTGATAGTTAAAGAATTTGGGGGAGGGGGGGGTCTAACCTAAATGCCCCTGTTTTTTACACCAAGATGTGGTGGTTGTACTCCAAGACCAATACCGAGGGGTTGACAGATCAGAACCCTACCATCACCAACAGAGTTGCTAAGTTTCTATCTGCAGCATGTCCATAAGAAGGCATAAGATGTCGTAGTCTTGGAGTGGTTACATTATGAGGTTGTTCTTTTTTGTTCTATTTTAATTGCATTTCTATTTTACTCTATTTCTGTTTTATCTTATGTTTTATACCGTTTGACTGTATTTTATTCAATTTTCTCCTTTCTGCGGTTTTTGAACCTCAGTTTGTTAGGTTTTATATGACTGTGGGGATTTTGTTTGTTTGTTTATTATTTAGTTGTTGCTTCTAAGCTTTTTCTTTTATTTTGCTGGGCATTAACCATAATTAAATAAATTTGATTTGATTTGAGAGGTTTAGGGTTTTGTGGAACAATAGATATGAAACCATAGACATAAAATCAAGCAGCAAAAGTATTTGGATTTTTAAGCAGTTTCTATAATCATATACTCCCTCATGCACAGAAGCTTAAGTATATCCAACAACCAAGCTGGCCAGGCTCTGGTCTGGGATCTTGAGGAAATAATTCACAGGTGATTGTTGTTCCAATGAGCTTCTCAATTCCATTCTCCTTTTTTTACATCTTATTGTTCCTGTTATTATTCCAACGTGGCATGTATTATTCACAAGTTTTGCCTCTAGGTACATGGTCCCTCTTTGCTGAAGTCTGTTGTTAAACTCTTTTCAAAATCTGCTGCTGTGCCTTTCCAGACATCTTGCCAAGACCACTTCCCATTCTTGTCTTAGAGATCATGGGCTCTCTGTGGCTGTTACCAAGCTGTTTTGTTCTTCCCTTGGTCAGTCAGAATTCATCATGGGTTTGTTCTTCAGACATTTTCTATAACATGATTAATGAGCAAGCTTAAACCAGCTGAAACTAAGCCAGGAATTGAAGGCTGGCCATAAAGTGAAAATTGCACATCAAGCAGTAAAATCTATCTAGCTAACCAACAAGCATAAAGATGAAGTGGAGAGTAAACTACTGTTGGCACCCTACAAAAAGAAAGGGATGGATAGAAACCTGGCTGGAAGACATTCCATGTACATACAACCATCTGGATCATGATCTGTCTTCTCCATTCTTCTTAGGTTTCTTGATCAGTTACTCTGATGAGGCTTGATGAATATGGGAGGTGATGTGTGTATACTTAAGCAAAGCTGTAGTCAATAAAGCTAGGAGATTAATAAAGCTATACTGTAATCAATAAAGCTAGGAGATTAATAAAGATGTTATTGTGTGCTATGTGTCATTTAGTAAGAGTCATTTGTCCTTCCAAGATCCTAGAAGCATTGATATCTCATTGAATGATGTGTGAATGTGTTCTCCACGTATACTCCCAACCATTGACAAAGGCTGCATCTCCAGCAATCTCGGGGTACTCGTTCCTGGCAGTTTGTGAGCTGTGGAGCATTGCAAGTAGCATGGTGTAAGGAAGAGTGATTGTGTATAAGTGAGATGTTAAAATGTTGAAGGAACTAAGACATGAGATAACAAAAAGAGAAAATTATTCAACTACATACTCACCATTTACTGTACTCTAAACCTTTCCATCTTTGCAAACCATCCTTCTATCATATTTATGCATTGCCTTATACATTGCTTTTTGTTCTTTAAATATCTTTTCTCTTTTTGAGGATCTCATCAACAGCAATTACTTTCTTGGTCTCCTCCTTCTCTCAATCCCTTCCCCTTCCTCTCAACCCTCTATGGAAGAGAGTAAGTTTTTAACCTTCCACTATTTCTTTAAGATTAATGCATGTATGAATAAAAGAGGGAGGGAGAAACAGAAAACCGGTTAGAATATGCAGATAAATGCTATTTACTTTGTACTGTACTGTACTAAAGTTAACCCTGTTAATTTCAGTCCTGTTTCTGGTGGGAAGGGCTTTCCATTTTTAGACAGAAATATATAGGATTCTGCTGTAAAAATTGTAATTTATGCAAATGATTCACAGAAAAGGGGGGGGGAGTCCTCTACTTAAAGCCAGAATAATTTGGATTGCACTGACTATTGTAACCATAATCCTCTACCATCCAGAGGATGTAGAACTTTTTGCCCTGCTGGTTGGGACTGCTGGTAATTAAAGTTCAAAGCATCCGGAGGTTACACTTTATGGAAGTCTCACTGAATTCACACCACATACAAAGTGCCTATTTAAATATGGTTTATTGAATAAGCTACAGCAACAATGACTAAGAACCCCAACATTACCAGGACATTCTGCATGCTTAACATACCCCCACCACTATCCATGGGCATTATAATATTGATTTACTATGCAGGGCTTGAATGCAACGTGCAGTCTATGAGCCAGTGTCCAACTTTTTGCAATGCATACAGAACAATGAGAGATTTTAATTGTGTGCATTGAAGGGTCACTTTTAAAATTTAAAATTTCAGAAAAATTGCCCATTTTTTAACAAAATTTGAATTAGAAATACTGTATGTTCCTATATTCATTTTATCTTTTATTTTGAGGTAGATGTAAGGCACTAAGTGCCCATATATAACTGTCCAAAAATCCTGAATTTCTGCCTTTTTAAAAATAAGTCAATTTTCTACTAAGGATTTTTTTAAAAGAAGATAATCCTTCTGTAGATACATTTTATATACACATCAATCACTACAAGTATTCTTCATTCATTGACTAAATTTATGGAAAACAGAAAGAGGCCTTTGTTAGAAAATACACAGAATAGTGACTACATATTTTGCTTTGTAGTTTGGCTTCCAGAAACATTAGAGATCTTTTTTTTAAAAAAAATGAAAGCTAGGAATCTAGCCATTTATGGCATATCCAATAGGGGACTGTTCCCCTTGTAGTGGCTATGTATTAAAGTAATAACAAAATGTTCATAAGGAAACTGTGTTAATCTGTTACATAAAAGGAAATGAATAGTGTTGGGTTGTATTGAAGACAGATCTGTTGGCATAAACTAGCAGTTCCACATGTGTAAAGCAAAAACTGGTTGTTGCTAAGAGGAGTAGCTGCCACTTTCTACTCACAGCTCCGGTAGAACTCTTCCAGCTGAATGTCTGCCCATCTAGGCTAAAGTAATGTGAATGCAATTAGGTTTTTCAGAGAGATTATGTACAGTATAGTTGTGAGAGTAATCATGGAGAGAGAGTTGTGAAAAGGGATAATGATCTGAGGAAAAGGGAGTGAACAAAGCAACTACGGTATCTTAATTGGCCACTGTGCTCATCTGGAGACTTGATATTTTGAGGAATATGAATTGTGGACTTTTTGAATTACTGCCTGGCCAATTAGTATGATAGGTGGAATTTTGCAGAAACATTCTACCCTGTATAGATGCATTAGGGCCTGCAGTTTTCAGGGACATCTCTAGTAATTGAATTGAGATGCCACAACTGTTCAGTGTTTGCCTGGACACAGACCTCCCCAGCCAAGTTGTCTAAGTCTTAAGTCAAAGTAAGAGTACATGAATACTGACTGTAAATCATCCTACCATACAAGTCTGAACAAAGCCTTTATCATTTATGCTGTGTGGATTATAAAAATTTTCTTTTATATTTTAATTTTGTGGGCTTTAAATCAGGACTAAAAATTGGAAAGAACATGTAATGTCACCTTAAACCAGAGGGATTTTAAATGGTTAAATGTATAGTAAATCAGAGGAGCTCAGCTTATCTTCATAATTTAGCTTCATACAATGAATAGAATATCAATCAATATTAATCTATAAATAAGCCAAACACTGCAGTACAGGGAGATCATAGGTTATTCATCTGCTTAAGAGCTACAAATTACAAGTATACAACTACAAACATATTGCCACTGGGTGCCAAACTTCATCCTCTAGAGGCTTGGTGCGACCACTTAAGTGACCTCTCCACATTGTTTGAGTGTCTATCTCCATATACAGAAGAAGTTTAGCTGGCAATCCCAGCAGAATCTGCGCACACATAGACAATATGAGCAGCCATATCTTCAGGAGAACATGGTGCCTCAATGCTTCTAGTAGCAGATTCAGGCAGGTGTTTTAAGGCATTTTGCAAAGGATCCCTCCAAATGTTTCACAGAGCTTTGGTACATATATTTCTTACTAATACTGAATGTTGCCACTTTTTATAAATGTGGGATTCTAATTGGATGGTTAAAAACCATCTAATTTAGCATTTGCATTATTCTTGTCAACTGTCAATGTGCAGAATCACTGTGTGCATGATTATCAAGGAGAGCTTATCATCTTTCAATTCAAAATGGGCAAATGGTGCAATCTGTTGTTTGGCATATGCTGATATTTACAGAAGAATGAGAGGAATGTCTCTGTGGTAGGGCTGCTATCAATGCTTTTCTGGGAGGATTAAAGTGTTATGCATTGGTATTACATACAAATCCCCTGGAACAGGACCACCAGTTCATACTGTCTCAGGAAAAAGCAGATGTTGCAGCAGTGAAAATCCTCTAGGCTTGAAATATTACAAATTCAAAGGACACGTCCCTGAGCTATTCTAAAACTTTCTAAAGCTTGCATGTCTGTCTGTCTGTCTGTCTGTCTATCTCCAGTCTTTTACCAAAAATCCCAGAAGAACACAATAGCAAACTACTTCTACAGCATTTCGAAGAAAACTGCATAGATTCAGTCACGAAGATTAAGGCAAGGGCAAAGTGCTTCCATATTGGTGCTCAAAACACAGTATCTTCATGTAGTCCCTCTGAGTCAAATTTGCCTCAAGAGAATTGTTACCTTTATCTACCTAGCATGCAAGACTTGCGTTCTCTATGTATAGACTCATTTCCCCCTTCACCACTATTTTGAAAATGCAAACCACATACCATGTAATAATAGCTTATGGCTAAGGCTCTGAATAGTAATAAATATGAGTCAACAGTGTTTTCTACAATTCTGGGATGTTGTGTATATACTACAGCCTCACATCTTTCACCTCAAAAGTGTCACAATCCATGCCTTTATGCTGTCACAATGACTGAGATCAGGTATTATGCCACACCATAAAGTACTGATGGACAAAATGTAACCCACAGGCTAAATGGGATGCCCAGCACCCCTATTTGTAGCCCCTCAAGTACTCCAACAGTGGTGATTTGCAAGTTGAAACTGGCAAAATAATGGTGGATGTACCCTCAGGTGGTAAAATGCCCCCACTCCACCCTTAAACCTTTCTAACATCATCATCGTTGTTGTTAATAATAATAATAATAATAATAATAATAATAATAATAATAATAATAATAATAATCAAGCTCTAGCTTCACAGTTAAGAAAAGGTCACCCACCCATTATAAATTGCAATGGCCAGGATCACGCACACATGCACACAATGGCACATTTGGGGCTTATCACTAGGCTCAGAATTTAACTTCCCTATTGGATGAGAATCAGTATGAGAAAAGATTTCACTGTTCATTTAAAAGGAAATGTTCTTTCCCTTGTTTCTGAATATTGGTTTGCATTCTATCCGACCTCTAGTTCATTCAGAGCCTGTATTTTATTTTGATTTACTTCTATGATCATAATTTCTCCTTCTCAAATCTGATAATTATACTATGGATTCATCAGCAACTGTGAGGGATTCACATTGGATTAGAGTAGCTGAAGCATTTATTAGTCTTCTTCAGGGTATGTATCCAGCTGCCTTTGCCCACCCCTTATTAAAAGTGTGGTTTCAGCGGCCCTGATTCTTCAGTACTTCGTGATATGTTGTTCATAAGAGTCAGTGGGGTGTAGGTAAGAACTAAGGATTTACTCTGTGTCCCTGTTGCCTGTTATTCTTCCTGCTCTTTGTCTATAGTATCACTAATCTCAGATCACTTCCTTCTATCTTTGTTCCCAGGCACATATGTGTGGAGCACATCCTGACTCTTCTCTTGGTAAGATGTTGTTAGCGAGTTCCTAGGCTTTGCCTTTCTTGACAATGCATTTCCTTAAATACATCTCCTTTCTGTTATAATTTTAAAACCTGCTTCATTAATAATTGCTCCAGTCAGAATGTTGTTCTCAGGTATATTCACGTGCACACACAGAATATTTCCACTTCCAACAGCTCCCAGCAACAAAGGTTTCTTTTAAACCTGTAACACATTGGAATCACATGTTTGCACCAATTCCTTAATTGTGGTTGGGTTTTCGCTTAGAGTATTGTCTGAACTTGGCTGTTGAGGTTTATAAAACACAGATTATGAATCAATGTATGGGCGAACTCCACACAATTATGACTTAGTCAATAAATCTCAATTAAGGAGCAGTTTAATGCAATGGGTTAATTGTCAAAGGCTACATTCACATGGTATGATTAAGCAACCATAACCATTGGGGGTTATACTTGTACCATATGCTGAGCTTGGTGAATCTTGCTTTTTTATGGCTCAGTGTGTTATGAGAATACAGTTCCTTTGATGAAATCATTGTTCAACATATGGTGGAAACCCAGAAAAGGAGTTAATTTGGCTGCCAGTTTAAGCATGTTGTGAGGACACAGCCAGATAGATGCCTAGTGGCATTTGCCTTCCAATAAAAGGTTACACATTAAAGGCAGTGATTTTAATTATAGAGCTTAAGATACATTCTTGTTGTAAATATGCATTTGATGTTTCATGTTGCATCCTCAACTGCAAACTTTTGAAAAAGGACCAAGTGCTAAGGCACTTTTGAAAACCGCTTCTCTTCCTTTTTTTCTGCCGATGAATTAGAGGAATTCTATTTGGTGCTTGCATCATCTGCAACGGCTCATACTGATGCTCTGCTAAGTTACCAGGCCATGTCCTTCCACATGTTCTCCTTTGGATAAAACTGCACTGGGCCCACCATAAAATCCATAGTCAAGACTGATGAAGGCAATGAAGTAAGAGAAACAGAGTCCAAGCAGAGTTCACATACAAACCTAAAAAATGTAGCAGAATAAGCAGGACAAGAAAGGTAAGGGCAAAGACAATCAGTGAGTGAGTAGCAGCCTGACACCAAAGATTTTGAAGCTGGAGTTCACAGAGTCCTGCTTAGTACTTAGCTGGATATCACTGGGGTTTTATTTATTCATGAGAAGGCTGTTTTGAAGAATTCTCTTTCTCAGAGATGCATCAAATTAGCAGAAACAAACTTCACATTCAAGCATGGTGCATTCAGTAAAACAACACAGTATAGAAACCAAGTCTCATGGGAATTAATTGGCAAGCTTGGTAAATTTGACTGAATGACTAGTAGTGAGAAAGGTAACGTCAAATTACAATGAATAGTAACCAGTAGTTTCGCACTGAAAGGTTCTGCCAAGAAAACCTTATTTAGTAATAGGCCACTAATCATGAGCTCCTGTGTTTCTCAAACAGGCATTGCTCTGGGAGACACAAAGTCCAATATAAGTCTAAGATCTTGATGGATCCAACAGGCAATAGAAACAGAGTTCAAATGGAGACAAAAGGCAAGTATAGTGATTATGACAAAGTGAGCCAAAGCTAACATCAGTTGCACTTTTAGTTTAAAGCTGGAATTCCAAAAGCCCCATCCATGGCTCAGAGAGATACTCTTCTCATGAGAAATCTCAGGTTCTCCACAGATTCCTGATCTGTGCAATCTTTCGTACTAGAAAGCACTGGTCTTTACATTGGTTCCCTTTTGAGAACATGGTGGGAGGCCGTGCCTTCCATGTCTGAGTCAGCTGTGTTTGGATAAGATATGGAGCCTCCTACTGCATCCTGGCCAGGGAATGAAGCTGCTTCCATTTGGCTTCATTTCTTTGTGAAGTTGCCTGAAGAGCCTCCTCCAGTTCTTCATTCATCAAACAGTGATGGATTCCTGGCACCTTCATCTTTTGTCCTCCAAGGCTCCAGGTTATCCTCTGAGTGGGAATCCACTGGGGTAAGGAGCACAGGGCTGTACTCCTCCTCCTCCTCCTGTAAGTCTTCCCAGATTAAATCATCTGCATGCAAGGGAAAAGAAAAAAAACCTTGATTTATTCTAGATTTTCTTTGCCTTGGCTCTTCAGGCAGAAAAGGGCAATTCCAAGCCCAGCTGCTATGTTTGATTTGAGTTCTAATTAATCTTAGGATTTGATTTGACAACTTGGGCTCTTTAATCAATGGGGGAGTGGGAGAATATATTCCATTCCCAAATGAGAGGATCTTCAGAAGGGTAGAGAGAGAGAAAAAAAGAAATCTGAGTTCTTCTGAGGGAATCTATTTTTTTTCTTAAGTTACCCTAGAGGGGTAACTTTTTCTTAAGTTTACCTAGAGGTAAACCAGCTCTTCTGGTCACTGCTTTCTTTCCCCAGAGGGTAGGGGAACATGATGCACTTCCCCCCTCTGGTGGCTGTCCTTAAGGAGTGATTACACATAGCTTTCTAGGTGTTAAATCTTCACGGAACTGTTAAGATTTCTGTCAGCAGGTTATATTCCCAAATGGCTTCCTTTTTTGCATTATGGAGGCACAAATTCAGGTTGCTGAGGAATCCGGGAAAGTTACCTTGTTGGGGAAGATGGCTTCTAATGGTTCCCACAATTCCTGCCGTGCTGGAAGCTCCTGGAGTTCCTCCAGCTGCACTCTTTGGCTGCCTAGGTCTGGAAAGGGGGAGATGGCAGATAGACAGTCTGCCTAGGTGGGAGCAATTTTCAATTTTAGGGTGGTACCACAGGGTGTATAAGAAGATGGAAAGCAATTTGAATGGCACTGCTGGACTTGTTAACATGTGAGCTCTTCCTCATGGTTGCCATTGATTGAAGAAGAAAAGAACAGTTTGAGTCCTCTGCTCCCACTTCTTCCAGGACTCTAATCCATATCATTGTATGGGGATAGCCATAGCAAAAGTTTCCAAAGTTGTGGTGTGCCCTAACAGGCTATCACTGCAGGTGGTGGCTTGGACCTGCTGTTCCCTACTCCAAGACTCTACCCAGAAAGTGTGGTGTTATGGAAGGAAGCAGCAACTCAGAACTCTTGCATCATTTTTTGGCAGTGCTTATCTGCCCGCCGCCCTCCCCCCAGCAGCTCTATTCCTAGCTACCTAGGAGTATGGTTTTCACAGCAATAAGTGCCTGATTTCCACTGCAGCAGAGGTATGGTGTTCCTCTTGATACCAACCATTCCTATGGCCTCTTTTCCTTGTGGGCTTCATATGTTGGCATCAGTCTATATTCTTTTAAAGCTATATTCTAATTATTCAAAGTCTGTTTGTTGGCTCCTGAAATAGGTCTTCTTGATGAAAATTCCCTTCTATTTCCTCCCATAAGGCAAATTTCTACTCTCTTCTCTTTAACTCTCTTGCCTTTAATAAGCACATTAGGCGGCCCAGGCTAGGGTCACCTTCCAGCAAGCCCTTTAGTATCAACTCCAAGGTGTCCCAAGATGGCTGGAAAAGTTCATGAAAGGAAAAAGAGCCACTGTTTGGAAGCTGAAGGCTCTTACCCATCAACATTGGTCAAGAAATGACACTCTTGATTTTATTTTGTCGATTTTAACAGTGCAGGAAGGCTGGAATCATGGCTCAGTTTGGATTGGGAGCAGCTTTTGCCCCCATGCTACAGTTGTGATCCATTCTACAGCCCTGATTGTTGATTGACAACAGAATCCTTGGCAGATGTTATCAGAAGTAAATAGGCTGTGATTGCACAAGGTCCATTTATGACATTAACTTGATGAGACCTGCCTCAGTGAGAGTTGAGATGGGGGAGTGAGGACTCCTACTTGCAGTAGGAGGCAGGCTGGGAGGGGCTTCAACTCTGAGACATTAGTGGGGGGTCATTTGGGGGAGAAAGGTATGTAGTTGGTTTAGTATGTTATGAAGGTCTGAGTTATTAGGATTTGTGGCTAGCTGGGTGGTTAGTGCCAAGAAGCTGGCTATTGGATGTATATATCTTGTCAGGAAATGAAGGCACATAACTGGATGGTGAGGGGAAGAGAATAGTCGCATCTCTATAGTGTTGAACCAAGGAAGATATAGTGAGGCTACCCAATATGTCATTCCAGGGGAAGAGAAGCATCCAATTTACTAGGAGACTTTACTTCTAGTCTGATAGGCCCATCCTCGATCATCAGACTGCTGTGATGACTGGTCTCAAGGTGCTAATGGTAAATGCCATATCTGTCAATAATGAAACCTCATTCATTCATGATTTAGTAGATGAACAGGCAGATCTTATTACTGAAACATGGCTGCCCAAGGGTAATTACAAGGGTTGTCCTATCTGAAATCTGCCCTGCTGGACTTTGGGACTGTCAACAACCTTGATGCCATGGCTAGGGTGGGGTGAGGTGGGGTGTTAACTGTTAGGACATTCTTTCTGTGTTCAGGGATGCTGCTCTTGAAATACTAAGATGTGAGTGCCTATGTGTGAAAGTGGGCCATAGAGACAAGCTAGGAATCCTGCTGAAGTACTGGCCACTTTGCAGCTCTGCAGAATCCCTCCCTAGGCTCCTGGATCTAGTGTAGTCCATCATCAGCCTGTGGTGGAGACCACCTGCATCTAACTTTTTGGGAACTTCAACTTTCATGCCTTGAAGGTGGGATCTGGTAAGGCATGAATTTACTGGTATTATTTACTGGTAACCATGGGCAGGTCTCAGGTAATCTCAAGTGCTGGTTTTGACCTAAAAAGCCCTTTATTGTATGGCACTTGGATACCTACAGAACTACAGTATCTGTTCCAAACTGAATCAGCCCACCTAATAGATCATCTAAGGAAAACTAGTGCTCCACTATCAGGAAATGAAGGGTGGTAAAACATGAAGATGCTGTTTTTGGTGGCAACATGAGTCCTCTGGAACAGGTTCCATGTACAGATCAGGCTAGCATCATCTCTGAATGCATTCATGAACACAGAGAGAGTTCTAGAGAACATTTTAACCTGTTAAGGGTAATATTTTGTTCTGGTTTTTTTCTTATTTCACTACATGAAATTTTGTCCTGCTTTTAAGCATGCTGTAGATGTTTTAAATTTGTTTTCTATTATATAAGCTGCTGATTTGATTGCAGTTGACTTGATTGCAGTGGGGTACAAATGCAATAAGTCAATAAATAAACTAGGAGAACAATATCCTCCAGATCAGATGGTAATCTCAGCACTTGCTAAAAATCAGCCCCTTATTGCTACCCTATCTTTGGTGTTTTGGAGATACTCCTAAACTCAGGAGGTGGAAACCAAAGTAAGCACTCCAGAGCCCCATGGGATAAAGATGGGTCACAGATAGTGCTTTAATTTCAAGAGCAGAAAGGAAAGAGATATTGGTACCATCTTACCTGCATATCTTCATAGTGTCCAATATTCATGGGCAGGTATTCTGAGGATTCCTCCAGAGAAGCTTCTGGGGGCCCTATGGATGAAACATTGGAAAAGGCCATGGCATTTCCAAATTGTGCAGAGCAAGATAAAAATGGGGAAGCTGCTTTATTAGTTGACAATTCAATTTCCCATATAAAGTTTCAGAATCAAAACAGTGTTTCCAAATATAAGCTCTAGCCTGCCTTTCCTAACTGGAGTCCCCCTCCCCTTGCCATGTCATGGTCTTCTGCTGTTTAGGAATTGTGGAGCTGATGGCCAGCACATCTGGAAGTCTCTAAGTTGCGAAAGGCTGTTCTGTGTTCAGCTATTCAACATTTGCATGGAAAACATTTCAGGTTTCTTCTCCAGAATCTCTAGTAACAGCTGGGAATTACTGCTGCCTGGGTCTGCAGAAGACCGTCTCTCCAACTGGCCCTGGAGGAGCAGGATAGGGCTGTGCTCCTGGAAGTTCATATACTTTGGTGGGAGCCTCCACTGTATGTGATTTCTTTTACAACATATTAATTTTGTCTCAAAAGATCACCCACGTAGGAAAAAGACATAAAGTGACATTCTCGGACATGAAGTTATAGATATGGGTTCCAGTATCTTAATTGAGGGGAATGTCAGCTATGTCTGGGCTGGGTAATTAATCACCTTTAGATTTAGCATATAATCACTGCCAGTGCTCATCATTAATCATAACCTTACTTAGTAAGTGGCAGCTTCTACCTGATATTTCAGAATGAACCTGGCAAGTTCTTGGATGGGAGATGATCAGGAAGTCCCTAGGCTAGATTTAGAAGTCAGGAGAAAAAAAATCCCAGAAGAAGGCAGTAGCAAACTGCTACTACAACCCTTCAAAAAAAGGAAGGCAAGAGCAAATTGCTTCCCTACTGGGGCTCAAAATCCGTGGCACAAATGTGTCCATGTAGTCCCTAGGAATCAAATTTGCCTAGGCTCAAGGGAGTCTTTTTCTTTGCCTACTTAAAATGCAGGATTGCATTCTCTACATATTGCCCAATTAACACATGCAGCTAACATGGTCGGTGGTCTATTTCCCTTTTCACTGATATTTTTGAACATGTATCAGAATCATAGGCCATTTAATAATCCCTTACATTGAAGGCCCTGAATAGTAATCAATATACAGCAGCATTTTCTACAATGCTGGGATATTGTACAGGATGGATAACTAAATTATAGATTTTCTGGGAAATCTGAATGCCCTGGATAAGCGGTTACTATTTTATAAAGTGCAGGACAGGCAAAATGAAGCATATTTTCTTATGTTAATAAGACATTATAACCACGTTTTGTTTTTGGCTAGAATATGTCTTCTCTTTTGTGTCTTTTAGATGCTATATTATAAATTGCTATATTGCAAATAGAAAATCTATCCAGAAATGTGCACCTGCACTCTAGGATTTTTTAAAAGCTACAATTAAGAATGGCTCTATTTATTAACAGGATCCATTTTTAAGCATAGTTTTCCAAAACCTAATGACCCCAAATGTATTGGACATCGTCTGTACCCTGAGGCCTTGGGAATGTCCAATATTATAAGTTCTGCTTGCTTCCATGCACTTATTCGCCAAGCACTTAAACCCTTCGTTAGCCGCTTGGACTCAGTTCCAGATGAAGGATGGAATGCCTGAGTCTAATAAAGGGGACCAGCATTATTCTGGTCCTGTGTTGCCTTGTGGAACATCTGAGACTTTTGTGCGAGATGGGAGAACATTGGAATATCGTTACTGATCACATCTGGAACATGTTTACTAAGGTATCAACTTTAGTTTTCAGTTTCCTGGCTGTGGAGCTTAATTCTAATCTTAAACTAACAATGTTTTTCATCACTAAATTTCCTTATTGGTTCATCTTAAGAAAATAACATCTTTGAAGATAATGATAGAATGTTGCCATTCCTTGGCTTCCCCTGATGGACACAAGCATGTGATAAAATCCTATTCATCACTTGAAATTATCATATACAATTCCAGTTTCTCAAACAGTTACAGATGAAGATATGAACATATAAGCATGCGTTAGGTTTCTTGCAGTGATCCAGTTGCTTGACCTGTATCTACTCCAAATCAGAAAACTGGAATGAATTCAGTTATCTGTCAAGTTGTCCAACAAGAGATTGCAGATTCAGAGGTGCTCTGTACCTGCACTGGTTGAGCTGTTTCTGAACATGGGTATAGCATTCTTTAAAAAAAAAAAAATCATTAGGAGAGCCCCTTCCTGCTTCACCCTGTGTCTCGCCTCCAAAATCGCAAGACCTGTGTTCAGAAACAGCCCAAATGATACGTCACGGGCATGGAGGAAAAAAAATGGAGGAACTTTGGAGACCCTCCTTCACCTCATGTCCCTCTTCTGTGCCTGTTATATAAAAATGGTTACCTGGGCATGTTTGTGCCATGGCCTGAGGATGAACTCACAATTAGACTAGCTGAACTAAGTATACTACCTCCTTAAATAAGATCTTGAGTTCCAGTATAAATTCAGGGTTAATGCCAAAAGGACAACTAGATGCAGATCATCTGCTGAGCCTCTTTATTGGGTGTTGTTAGGTAGGCCCTCCTTGCTTTTTATTGAGCGTTGTCCTCAGTGTTATAGAATGTATAGGATAAGTGAGAGCCAGATTCCTTAGAAGGCCTAACTGTTGTTTTGCCCAATTCAACTATCCATTGTCATTTCTGATGTCACTGGCCTAGCCAGCAAATTAGAATACTATCTAGTGATTAAACCCACCTTTATAAAGACTCCATAGTGAATTGTAGGTATAAACTAGTTTTTATTACTTGCACTACTGTAGAAAAAGATTACATTAGAGATGTAATTTGGGGGAAAACCAAAGAGTAATTCCATCTATGCAGGTCTCTCAGCACAAGGTCAATTTATCAGAAGCTTTTGGGGGCACTGTTGTGCTACATAAAAACCTAGGGCTTGTCACAACCTGCCTCTCTCTTCTTGCTGAAGAGGTGACTGATGCTATCACTATTTACCTCTCTTGAGCTGGTCAAAATGTGAATGACAAATCATGCATGCAAAGAAAGGCATCCTGGCTGGGTGTATGCATCACAGGAGAAAAATTATTTGCTTAACTGTGCTTTATTGAATAAACCATAAATGGCTAGATTCACACTTCAAACTAAGCCAAATTAAACAAACCATATAATGGCTTAGAATAATGGGTAACTACAGTTACTGTTATTCATAGGTACTGGCTAGGTTCACATGTCACACTAATCCTGGTTTAACATATTTTGAACAAGTTTGTTTTAATACGTGTTAATTTGGTTTACAAATTACAGTGATTAGTTTCATACTGTCTTCTAAGTCAAAACCGAACAACATCATGACATAGTATTATGTGCACTACCCCGCTACCCTAGCCCCCACAATGGTGGTTTTCCAGAAAGCATGGAAGATTGGGCCTTTCTGGAACTATGTCACCTTGTTTGTAACTGTGAATTATGAAATAAAGAGTGTTGTGGTGTAATTATCGTGAGATGATTGTTAATGATCGTGACTGTGAATTACGAAATAAGAAGTGTTGTGGTGTAATGATCACGAGATGATTCTTAATGTAATATGCTAGTGGAATTTTATTGTTTTTATCACTCTGTTTGCCATGGACGTTTTAGTGTTTATGATTTACCATGGCTGTTTTATTGTTTTATATTCTTACTATGGACATTTTATTGTTTGCTGTGTTGTACCATGAACGTTTTAATTCTTGTCTTCCAATTCTTACTGCTTCTGCCATGAGACTAAAAGGAGTCGGTATCATAAACATTTAATTATTAATGCATGTTAAAGGCAACAGCAACAATGGGAAACCACTTCCATCTTTGTGACACAGAAATAGCAATCATACTTGTCCTGTAAAAAATGGAATTCCTTGTAGTCACTATTAGCTAAATCATTTTGAGGCTGTTGTAAAAATCTAAAATTCTATGCTTGTAAAAATGGAAAAATATATATTCAAAGCAACGTATTCCGAGGTGTTTATTCTTATGTGGTGTATTACAGCTAATAAATCTGCCATTTGATTAATATTCAGATTTGCCTATTGTATGATGGTCATTGTGTGATAAAAACTAAAAACAATGCATAAATTGTCTTCCATTCCTTCCCCCATCAGTTTGTACCTCAGTTCTAAACCAGTATACAGAAATCAGCTTGCCTTCCCTGCCCAGCCTGTCTTCCTTAAAAAGCAAGCAGAGATCTTACACAACAGCTAACTCACTCTTTGTTTGCATTCCTGAATCTTAAAAGAGCTATGGAGATTCCATGGTGATAACTGTCTCTGACTTAGGGACAATAAATCAGAACTAGTCCTTAGCTCTGTCTGGCAAGACTAATCTGCAACAGAGATGACAATACTATCAATTCAGAGCAGATCACGCCTAGAAGGATAAATTAAATAGGAACAAGAGAACGGGAAACGTTCTATCATTTGGCTGCTTATGTTTATACGTCAATAGTATCAGCAGCAATATCTCATGCTTATTATTGTTTATTTTTAAAAAAACTGAACTAATGATTTTGTGTGTGAAAAGCTGCTGGAGGCAGTGTAACAATAGGAAAGCATTAAAAAAAACTACAATAAATGCAATTAATACATAAAAGTCAGCTAACATCTTGTCACACTTCACCATGGTTAAGAAAGAGAACCTGGAATTAGGAAAATATAATTACTTTGATTTGTAATAACTGGAGTCATCAAAGGTTTAGTCCCTATACCAAGAGTATCTATTAGGTTTACAACTTTATATTTTCCCAAAACATTTCAGTAGCTGTTATTTAACTTTATGGGAAATAATAAGCACTGCTGGATTGGACGGATCCATTTCCATATAGAGCAAGATACTTCTTATGGATCTTGGTTAGGCTTAAAGGAACCAACCCTAGGCACAATTAGACAAGATCACAAAAAGAGATCATGTCATTAAATTCTATCTGTATCAGTTCCCTGTAAATCTCCTGTTTGCTAAAGGACTGCCATAATTTATTCTTGTTGCTGCTTATTGCCAAAATGCCCTCTAGACTGCTTATATCTCTTTGGTGAGAG